CGAACGGGCAACTCGGACGGGAGAAGAAGATGAAACTAAGACTACTCCGAAGGTAACCATCTTCAAGCCCATATTTTCTAGACGATAATAAAACTGACGTGGATTTGAAAAGCTGCCAGCTGACGGGATAGTAACTCGGCGCCCTCAGGTTGGGGCTTATGTTGCGACGGCTGCTTTTTAATGTTCGTTTGGCGTATAGCGAGGTGTTGCGGACGACACTGTGGGTTTGGGTAATGCGATCGATGAGTTGTCCCGCGGCCGAAAATACAGATGGGCCCGGCGGGTGGTTCCACTTCGCTATGCTGAGGCAATAAGATCCCGCTAACATCGTTCCGCCCCACCCGAAACAAAACGTTCCGAGGGGGAAGGACTGTTACTTCGTAGGCGTTGAGGCTAATTGAAATGCTCTTTTCCTACTCAAAGTCGTGGGTCGTCTGAAAGTTCGGTGGGTACTTGAGATGACTTAGCAGCTCTAACCAGGAGAGGGGAGCAATATCCACTCCTTCACGGAAAGGCATTAAGATATGCTCAAACGTTTGCGAACATAAGCTACTGAAAAGCTGACTGTGGTTGGTGAACGCAAAACAGGTAGTCTAAAAACCAAGAAGCAACAACCACCCCCTCCCTATCTTTGTGCCATTTCAAAGAATGGCATTATAACTACACAACAGTACAATGAAGCGGGTCGCAGACAACGCATCCGTATCGGAAGCATTTGCAGTAACACAGAGGGCGAAGAAGGGTCTTGCACTCGTTCCCATTATTTTCAGTCTTTCGGTACGTTGGTGGGTGCCTGCCATGGGAAACGGTTGGTACTCACAAGCAAAGATGAAAGTAAACAAATCCATTATCCAGGATGACTTCGCCCTAGTACCACAACCGCAGTGCACATGCCGCGAGGCCTGACGCCCTGTGGGTACCGGTTGCTCAGACTTTGGACTGACTAATAATACAGAGAAGACAGTGGTAATGTATCAACCTGCGGCAACTGACGAGAACGACGAAAAACAACAAGCATCAGAGGAACTTGCCTCCCACCCGCGCTCAAACGGATGCCTCTATGGTGTACCATCATCTCAAGACGACAAGCTTATTGTGCCCAACTGACCTAACCAAGCAGCCATACAAAGTGATAAATTTTGCCCTCGAAGGTGACGGGATGATGGATTTAACTGTTTTCATGCTCTGGATTAATGAAAAGAATGACGGGCAAAACTAATTGCTGAGAAGTATTTAGTTAACCAAGCAGTTACAAAGGTGTTATCCACGGACTTGGAGATGCGCATCGATCACGTCTACAAATGTGCTTCAATGATCAATGCGGTGACGTGTCCCCCCCATAACAGGGTCCCAAGGAAATGACGTTATAGTAGACTTTACACTGATGAAGACTAACAGAGGAGCGAAGCATCCGAGTCGAAAATCCACGCAGGCGTAACAGCCAAGACAACAAACAGCAATACAACCACTGGCCACAAACGGCCTTGAAGGGGTTTATCTTACGGAGGAAAACATTTAAGGTAGAAAACGTTGCGTGCAGACAACTGCCTGGCATGCAAAGGTTTGCGCAAACGTGAATTAAGGTAATCTATAGGATAGAAATAAATGGAGAGGTCGAATCGAACCGATGAGATCAGGATAAATTCTGTTTAATGAGTCGAGAGGAATGAAGAAAGAGATTTTAGAGTACGAGCAGAAAACGGGGCAAAGGACAAATTGTAGATAGTGTGGGACTGCGAGACACTACAGCCCGAGGGCTAATAGGAAGTGCGAGTCCAGGTAAACAGATACGGCATTTAAGTCATTGGAATGAAACTCCGTGAAAGACGAGGGTAAAATTTCATTGCATGCAGGTCAAAAAAGTTTACATGAGCAAGGTAAACATTAAAAATACCCAAGAAGCGACTTTACTTTGGAGATCAAATTGGAACTAAAAGCTTTCAGGATTTCAGGCAGTTTTGGCGTTGCGAGTAGACAGGGGAAAAGTTATCCCTTTAACTGTTACGGAAGCGCAAAAAACGAAAACACACAGCACCAACGACAGGCAAAACAAACATTCCTGGAATTTTCCAGATCAGCACGGCAAAAAAAACAGGAAACCAAGAAAGTGTGCTGGAAATTTGGTTATCCTGTGCGCAAAAAAGTATGCAAACTAAAAGCTAATGTTGCCATAGTACACACATCCTTAGACGTGGCGTTACTTTGCATGTTTTTAACTTTGGTCTACTTTGGCAATATCACCTGGAAAATTACTCAACCAGTATAGGCAAAAAATTTTTTTAAATGAAAATACGACAGGTAGATCCGTTTAAGGATGCACTAGTTCACGTCAGTGGAAAGGGCAAGCCAACTAAAATCGCAATATTTTTACAAGGAAAGATCATAACACACAGAAGGGAATTGTCCTTACCTGATTTCTAAAAGCAAATATGATGAAATCCAGTTCCGGTGGCGGTACACATTCAATGCACTTTTGAATCACGTGATTTCCATTTTGATCTTTGACGCAGCGCATCACACAGGGACGCAGTTCGCCAATGATACGAATTTTAGCCTCCAGTGGGACTGATTCCAGGGCCTTTTGGATGACTCGGCAGCCGTACATTTGCATAGCAAACTCTACTACGTGGCCGTGCAGGCACTGAGATAGCAGCTGTGCAAATTGAAAAAAGAAAGGTGCTGTAGAAACTGTCCTTTGTATGGCACAGCACTTACAGAGCCAGTCACATGGGTTAATTAACAAACTACGCATCTAAATACGTGTAGGAAACCACCTGCTCACTAAAACACAAGAGATGCGCAGAAAAGTTTAAATTACTGGGAAAATATAGACAAGCTTTCATGCTCACATCCTTTACGGATGTGGGTTGGGTTAAGAAATCAAACAAACTCCAACAGTATCGCAGAGTAGGATAACGTTTGCAGACGTGGTGCCTGAACCCCAGTACGCTATACGTGTTCACGCTCTTAGTAAATAAGCGGTTCTGTCAGTTTCTGAATAAGTGATGTGACGCAATTTTGAAAAACTTAGCGGCCTCGGCGGGATTCGAACCCAAGACAGCAAGGGGGAGTGCTTAGTACAACCGGCACCCTAACCACCTGAGCTACGAGACTCCACTGGGTCGAGTTACACGCCTAGTCTGCTGCTAGAGTAAGCTGACTGTCGATTAAGGAATACGAGGGAGTAAAAATAGCAATCTAAACTTAAGATTGAATTACGTGCGTTAATCGATTTGTGTTGCTAGCAGATAATTCGGGTTGTTTACATACGATGGACCAAAGGAGTGCTGATGGTTCGGGGGAGGGATAAAAGTGCAACCCACAACGCGAACAGAAAATTTATCACAGTACTGGTTACCGACAATGAAATATTTCTAAAAAGTAGCTGCAAATATCACAAAGCATAGGATAGTCAAGGACGTAGCACGACCGTCGCTTCTGACGAGGTCCACCGCATGCTTCAGCAAGCTGAAGGCAAGCCCGGTGACTTGCGCGTGAAGTGAGTCTAAGTGATGGTAGACTTGCGCGGCATCTACCGCATTCTCTCGCTCTCTTCCTTTACCCGCCCGAGCCCTATGTGAGTTTGCACTTACGCGTGCCACAAACGGAGCATAACCCGAATAACGCCTGTCATGCTCTCATCTAGCCCCCGTGTTGGTCCAGCGCATTTACTACACGACCCGTCACAAAGAAGAATGGAAGGCTTCACAATTTGATGTCATCCTTGCACAGGGGCCATGCTAATCTTTTCTGTATCTTTACAATTTTAGTATATATACCGCCGTGGATGTAAGATAAACACAAACTGTTTATAGTGCAGGATGCAGAGATAAAGGTCTAAATAAACACAAACCTCCTTCTGCTCGTCAGTCCCGAACTCGAAGAACTTCTGGATGACATAGTTACCAAACACGTCCGTCATCAACTTCCCAGCCTGAGGCAATATCTCCGCGAAGACGACATTCTTCTCCGTGACAGTAGCGGTCTCGAGTTTTTGCTGAATGAAGCGGGAACCGTGCTGATCCCGTGCAAATTCTACAATGTGGTCACGGAGCTCCGACAGGGGTATGTGTTGAAAACGTGAAGTGGAGTTGCGGAAGTCCTCCAGTAACTGGCTTCGGCTAACCGGTGCAATGTTGGGTACCGCAGAGGCTGGCCCACCTGCGAGGACAAGGGAAGCACACACAATTAGGTGGCATAAAACACAAAGGCCAGGATACACAGCAGCACGGTTAATTTAAAAGAAAAACTGTGATACTAATCGGGAAGTGTTACGCGCAAACAACGATGAGTAAAATGGCAACGTCTAAATTATTTCTCACTCTGAGTCAACCATACACCTAGCTTAAGTCTTGAATTTGGATTTCGTGGTCCATTCAGGTCAGATGCCCTACCATTAAGGAAAGACTTGATACAGGACGGAATACGGGCGTTTTGATCCGCTCTGGTACTCCAGTCTACAGCTCACAGGCGGACATATGGCGACACGCGATCAATAATCGATAATTTTCGGAGACACCGTCAGAGGAGACTGGAAAATCACCTGATTTTATAGGTTAGGGGTTGTTAATGACCGACCGACAGGCGATAGAAAATAAACCGAAACGGCCTTCTCAGTCCTGCTCGCTTCAGTCAGCGACACTTAGCGATTGCACGTTTGCTAGACTGGAGCTCTAAGGCAAATGAAAATCGCCCGCATTTCATCTTGCAGTCGGGACAGACCAGTGAAAGTCACCACCATGTGTCTTAGAAATGGCCAAGTTTTGCAATGAAATTAGGTCGGCAGTGTGCGTATACGTGCGGTAACACTGCAAGGAGGTTAATTAAAAAAAACGCTTATCATAGTCAGCAGATAGATTGCCGACAACAATTGAAGTCGCAAATCGTTTGCGTGTTCACAGCGCAGTGGGGGCGCGGCGCGTCGAGAGAAGTCACACGATCCGTTCGATTGGGGGACGCGACAGGCATACGCTTAAATGCAGGCTAAATTTTGTCGCTGTTGCCTGACAAAACGCTCCGTCAGTATTATGCAGATAAGCACAACATCGGCCCTGCTGGCTGGCTGGAAAACTGGAATGCGCTTGACTTGCACTCATAAAAAGT